GTTGTGTGATCTTCCTTCACTTTCTGTATTGTTTCTCGTAGGATACATGTATAACTGCGTTATCTTGTATTCTAAATATTATAATTTTACAAAATAATTTTAATTTCAAAATAAATTTTCTTTTACTAAACTTAATTTTAATCAACTAATTTCATAACTTTTTAGATAGAACTACGTGACTTTGAGTTCTCCATTGCACCTGGGAATACGTAGGAGCGGGAACCGAACTCGTCAAGTCAAAATAAATTTTAAAATTACCCAAATAATATTTTAATAAATAGTATTTCTTCTTCTAAAATAAAATAATTAATGTTTGGGGGTTAAATAAATATTTTTTAAAATTAGAATGAATTTTCACAATTAATTTTAGGTAACCATTTTTAAACGGACGTTGTAGGGTGCTAATACCTTCCCTACACGTAAATGACTCCCGAACTCATTTTTGGTTTCAAATATCGTATTATATTTAAGTTTTTTCCAAGATTTTTTCTTAAAATAAACTTTGGTGGTGACTCCTCTGATATTTTTGAAAACGTTTTTCGCCGTACTGTTACGACCGCCCAGTTGCGACATCGATTAAAAAGTTTTTTTTTTTCTAAATATTTTTTCATCTAAAAAAAATGAACATTGCACAAATTTAAGAAAGAAGACAATGAATAATATAAAACAATATACATGACAAAAAAAGATAAAAAATTAACTAAGTTAATATTTTTAATGGAAAAGAATTTATTTAAAATATTTATAATAGTTGGAGAACTAAAATAAATCAAAATAAACTTGAAGGATAAAATCAAATTTAAATCTTAAGTTAGAGGACAAAAATATTAATTTTTGCAAAAATATTTTAACTCAACTTTATAACTACGATGTATAAGATAAAAAAAAGAGCGAACTTTTATAAATGTAAACATGAGTATTTATAAAAAAAAAATTAGAATTTTATACAATATAATACTAAAAAGATGAAGTAACAAATTTTATCCAAAAATTTAGATTAAAATTGACCAAAAAAAAGTAAAAATTAAACAAAATATAGTAAAAGTAAATATCGACCTCTCTCACATCCCTACTACCGCTGCCCAAACTCTTAAACCCACTTATTTTCTCCCCCATTATCTATTCCTTTCTCTTCCTCTGGCCATTATCTTCAACTACAAATAATCATATTCTTCTCCTTCAACCCACATTCCCAACAATGAAAGAATGCATTACTCTCCATATTCCTTCCTCAACCCACCCTTCACATACCACACTTGTAGAAACTCATTCCTCTCAACTCATCACTCTGACCATAAAAACTCTTATCCCTCAACCCATTATCTTCAATTATGAAAAGTTTTCCTCCCTAACCCATCACAACCATGATTTCCATTAAATTTAACTCCATTCCTTTTATAGCCTCTCTCTTTAAAAAAAATAAAATTCATTTTATAATCTAAGAAAACACAATCCTTTAAAACTAAATATTTTTTTTATTTTTAGACATTTTTGTCCTTATTACTTTTTTTTAAAAAAATAAAAATTTATTTTTTATTTAAAAATTTTATTTTGTTCTTTTCTGTAATAAGTGGTCTAAATTATTACACCAAGTAATAAAAATTATTTATTTATTTATTTTTAATATATTTTAATTATAAATATTTTATTTTTATTTTTTAAATATGGTTCTTTTAATTCGATTGCTTATTATAAATAATAATAATAATAATAATAATAATAATAATCATAATAATAATAATAATTTTTTTGTAAATATATTTTATTTTGTCACAATAATAATTATTCACTATAATTAAACTGACTCACACTCTTGCATTAATTATATTTTGATATTCTCATTTTTTCTTTTCTTTTCTTTCAAATTTCATTTAATTAATGATTTTAACATTAATTTGTTTTTTTAATCATATTATATTTGAGTTGTATTTTTATTTATAAAATTTATCCTATTCTAACATTAATAATAAATTTTTCTATAATTTTTTATATTATTTTATTATTTATATTTTAATTATTATGTTGATTATTTTTCTTTAAAATTATTATTTTTTATTTTATTTATTATATTTTTATAGAATATTGATGTGATTTAATTTTATGTTTATGATTTATTTTTTTATTTCATGAATAGTAAATTATTTTTTTTATAATAAATGAATAAATAATAATATAATTGTATTAATTTATAATACTAATATATAATTTATTTATCATTATTTATTATAAATTGATAAAACTTATATGTACATGCTTTATTTATGTAATATTAATTTATTATATGTTATCTTTATTTAATTAGATAATTATTTTAATAATTAATCAAAATATGTTCTCTTTATATTTACTAATTTATTAATTAATTAACTAATTAAATAAAATTATTTTATTAATATAATAATTTATAATATTAATGTGTAGAGACTTTTTTCTATGCGTTATAAATTATCAAAATTTATGTATACCAAAAGTTTTATACACTATTAATATATTAAAAATTTAAATTTATCTTCTGAAATTAATTAATTACATAATTATTTTTCTTTAATTAAAACTTATCATCTAAAATATTATTCTATTTAAATTATTAAATAATGTAAATTATTATGACTCAATCATATTTATCTCTGATTATATATATATATATATATATATATCATTAATTTAAGTATATTTCTTATAATTTTTATTTTCATAATTAATTAAAAATATATTTTCTCAAATATTTCTCTATTTCTATTATAAAAAGAATTTATTTATCTACTTATTAATTAATATAATTAAAATCTTTTCATCGTATCAATGCAACAATTTGTAGTATTATTATGTAATATTTTTACTTTTATATACTTTAAATCATTAAAACTTTTGTATACTAACGTTATTTTGAGTCTTATGCAATATAAATTTATCAAATAATATTTTAATCTTTTTATTGAATAATTATTTTTATTGATTAATTTAAATATATTTAATCCTTTCAATAAATAAAATTAATTTTATATTTTACATTTTCTTAAGTCATATTTCTAACTTTAATAAATTAAATAACTAAATATTTAATTACTAAATTTTATTTTTTTATTTTATTATACAAACTTTTACAACATTAATGAATAATTTACATCGCTTGTCTAATAAATTATAAGAAATTTATATGTATATTATACGCTATCTTAAATTCTATTTTAATATTAATCTTTAAATTTAATTATAAATTTAAATATTTATTTACAAATAAAAATATTTTTCTTCTTTTACCTTATATATTATTTATAATATAATACATGTATAATTACGTTATCTTATATTCTAAATGTTATAATTTTATGAAAACTTCAAAATAAACTTTCTTTACTAAACTTAATTTTAATCAACCAATTTTATAATTTTGATAATGAAACTACCTAATTTTGTGTTCCCCGTTGTACCTATAAATATGTAAAAGTATCAGTCAAGTTAAAATAAATTTTTATTTTTTAAGATATTAATTAATATTTCAGTAAATAAATTTATTTAAAAATAAAACTAGAAATAATTATTGTGTAAGAGTTAAATAAATATTTAAATAGATGTTGTAGTATACTAATACTTTTTTTACATATAAACCTATTTTTTTTAAGATTATATTATTTTATAAATTATTTAATTTTTTTAATAAATTTTGGTGATAACTCCTTGAATTTTTAGAAAATATTTTAGATCTAAACAATATTTTTTTAAAAACAGTTTGCCGTTATGTTATGACTTGTGACAAATTAAAAGTATTGCATAAAATAAAAATTTCAGATATTTTTATTAATTATAAAAACTTTAAATATAATTTATCTTATCAAAGTTTTAAATTGAATAAAAAATAAAAATAAGCCCCACCCGTATACACTCTTGCCACACAATGGCAGACAAGCATGAAAGCACTAATCGAGTATTAATTAATATTATTATTATAAAATGGCCGACAAAGTACGCAGAAGTTACTGGAATCGGTGATGCTGTCATCTAAACAACTCAAGAGAAAAACATCTTAGGGTACATACATTCTCTATCACACATCTTTTAATATATTTTTAATTATTAATTATAATTTATTAATAATTAAAAATATATATTCAAATTTAAAACTACATATAAAACTGAAATTATTTTTTATTAATTGATATTTGTGTTAGGTAGTAGTTTTATATTTTAAAACTACATATAATTTTGTTTCTTATATAAAAATATGAAATAAACAATCAAAATAAAAATGAACAAACCTTACGATTAATTTTTAAAATTAGAAACATCATTAAATTAGTTTTTAATATTTTAAATTAAATTTATTAATCTTCGACTTTATTAAATATTGGTGTTAACTTTTATTAAAGTGTAAAGTAAGTGACAGTTGAGATAAATATTATATCGTACTTTTAGTATATAAACTCCAAATTAATTTCAATCGTTGTAAAATAATATTATTTTAATCACATAAAATTATTCTACGCATCGTTTAACTAAAATTAAAATCATTGTAAAAAATTATTAGTTAAATTTATGTGTCTTAACATTTCACAAAGTAAAAACTTAACAACCTCTCACAATTTCATAAATTTATATGATAATAAAAATTATTAACATTACATAAAAATAAAAAATAAAAATCTACATGAGAAAAAAATAAAAAAAGTTTCTCCAAATGAGGAGAAATATTTTTGTCCAGACCTAAATAAATAAATAATTTATTTTTCTTATTCTTCTTTTATGTCAACGAGTAAAGTATACAATTTCGATCTTATCTTCGTCCTCTTTATGTCTTTTCATTTTAATTTCCCATAACAAGGGGAGAAAAAGCACTGGTAGTTATTTAATTTATTAACGTGATATCCAATTTTCTCCTTATTATTTTGACGTAATAATACTTTTTTAAAATAAAATTATTTTCTTTTCATGATGGCTTCTATTTTTATCTCGTACGGGTCACAGTTGGCATTTACATGTAATTACTAGTAATTTCTAATTTCCAAGTTGTGAAATCTTCTTGCTAGCTCTCGGCTAGAGAGAACCATAGGGGCACAGTAACATTTTTGTTCGAATAATTTACAGAAGGATTAATGACAAGTACTATATATCTTGTAAATAATTAGCACATCAAAGTCACTCATTGTTCGGAAATTTTCATCACTTCTACAAACAAACCACACAACACAGTTGATTTGCAGAACTATGAGCACCAAAATAGATCAATCCTTACATACTAACACAAACTCCAGAAACAAAGCCCATTGTCGTAACCACACGCACTACACATATTATATTATTTTTCTAGTTGATGAAGACACGAACAAGTATTTAGTATATATATATATACACACACACACACAAAAAGGTTGGGTACTTTAATTATTAGTTAAGATTCATCATACTAAGCACTGATTCCATCTCTGGGGTTAAATTTTGATGATCCCAAGTTGGCAACGTGAAACTGCGGTGTGTACTTGTTCGACGCAGCTTCATTCACCGGAGGCTCATTCAGAAATGCCCAGCTACTCTTCGTCCACCTGCATGTATACATTTCAGAAACACATTCTCTAATACCCTTTTGTATTATATTAACTAAAATCTATTAATAATCAAGATGTGAAATGAAGAGTGTGTTAGAACTTATGTTTTGGTATTTTTCATTTTATTTTTATAATCCATAACATTTTAGTTTTGTTTATAAATTATTATTATACTTATTTAAAAAATTTACCAGCCATTTTTCTTGATAAGCTGCTCCAAACTTGTGTCAACATCCATATTTATGGAGTCTCGTACACGGGTCAAGGGCATGGTGATTGACTTCTGCATCTTCTTCTCTGGATCTGTGTATTTGCTACCCTGTCCAGGGTGCATCATAATAATTACAAATTTTAGATTTTTCCCCTTATTTTCTCTTTATATTAATATACAAGATACACAAAAGCACAAAAAAAGGTTTCAATTTCAAACCTGGTTAGTCTCTGATGTATTGGCAATAGCTTTAAGGTGTTCTTCTTCTATCTTCTTCCTTGATTTCCAGTAAGCATCTATTTCATCTTTGGTTAGTGAGCGATTCCTTTTGAGTGTGGCTAAAACATTGAAAAGTTTTCCCTCGTTAGAATTACTAGTTATTAATTAACATGGCTAATCTAGAAAAAGGTTTAAACATAAAACATGGTTTACCAGATTGAGGATCCATGAGAGTAGAGTCCCATCCTGCCATAAGAGAACCCATTTTGGTATGGTGCTATCACACTAGAATGAGTAAATGACTGTCTTTGTGGATAAGTAAACTACCTACTCTGTAAACTTCTTAAGATTATTATATTTTATAGTGGTAGCTGCTTGGAGCGTTATTCCTTTTCCTCTTGGTCTTATCTCTTAGGAATTTTTTTAATGCGTGATGAAAAGATGGAATGCCTCCCACTTAAAATATAGAATAATTATATTTTTACTAATGTTTTAAATTAAACGGGTGATGTCACAGACAGAAATTGAGGAGATAATAATATATATTAAAAGAACATAATATATAATTTACAAGATGAATGTATAATATATAACTAAATAATAAAAATAATAATACTGTATAATCTTTTATTTATTTTAAAAGTGTTTTAAAATTAATTATCTTTTACAAAGCGGTTCAATAACGTTGGTTCATATATGATTTTGAGAAATTTATATGTAAAAAAAATAATATAAAATATTTCTTAATTTACAAGACATCTTACAAATCACTAATATAAAATATAACGTTGATTCTCATGAATAATAAAATGAATATTCTGGGTTTCAGTTATGGTAGCCCACAGAATTAGAAGACAAGGTGGGAACCTCACCGGCAATTTTTGCTCTAAACCTTATATTCTTCTTTCAACCTGATAGATATTTTGCCTTCTCATTTGATTACAATCATTGTTGGTTTTCATGTTTTCTAATTTTAATTCGTACATCATTTGAGCATGAAATTAAAAGTCATGTTTGTACAGTTTGGACTACTTCACATACTCTACAAGATTAAAGATATTCTTTTTTCAATACACCTTTTTTATTAAATGAAATTCAATTGAAAATTGCTTAATAAAAAGTGAGCTATTAAATAAATAATAAATCTTATATTATTTGAAAAAAGTTGTATGAGTTTTATTCAGCATGACATTGCACAAGTGTCTTCTTTTAATAACATATTTTTCACATAACTTTTAACATATCTTTATAAGTTATACTGAAAAATATAAACTCACTTTTTTAACAAAAAAAATGAAACTACATTATTCGTTTAATAATTAAATTATATTAAAAAATTAAAATAATGTACAATATTTTCATATCTAGCGTGATATTGGTGTAATTATCATGAATGATGAGGTGTTGCTATCCTCCATGGAGATGGGATCCACCTCACCCAAATAATCTTATCCTCAAGAAAATATCCCCACTCGACTCTACTTTTCCTTTTCTGTGTTTTCGCTTAGGTTAAATGGTTGTGGAAAACAATTCCCATTCTTGTTTTTTGGGTCAAATGTTCATAAGAGGCCCAACAGAACTGGATATTGATTTTGCAGCCCAACACATGGCATGAGAAAACTGAGCCAAGATATTAAAATTGTTTTTATTTTAAAATTGTGTTAACATACAAAGAGAAAAAAAAAAAAAAAAAAACTCATTGAAACTGCTTCAAGAAAAAAGAGAGTCTATTTCTTATAGTTAGGTTTATTATGATGGAAAGTGAGAGATTAATTTTTAATGTTATTGTGTTTTGTAATAAACGATTACTAAGTTATGTTTAATATTGAAGATGCATGTTTGATTATTTATTGTGTATTATTATAATACTCTTGATATTAAAGATGGTTTGATTATATATATATTGTTACACTCTCTTAATCTACAAATACTTTTTTTTAAAAAAAATGTAAACTAAACATTGACCCCCAAAATAAAAAAACGATAAACTAAACTTATATAGTCTTTGAAAAAAAATAAAACAATATTACACTCTTGATCACACACATGTAAAGCGTGTCTTTTTAAACAGTCACTTTTTCCATCTAAAACTGTCATAATAATAATAATACCATAAAATATTTTTTTTATCTAAATATTTAAATATAGCTTTTCCATACCTTTGTATATATCTAAAACTTACTATACAGTAAAATCATTTTCTAAATTTACTTTTTTAGATATTTTTTTTTAATAAACTTTGATACTTCTTTTATACCGTGTTCAGAAAAGAAAAATAATATATCATATTTTATTTCGTAAAAAAAAACATTTTCATTGATAATCTTTTTGATCTTCATTAAACACTCATTTTCTAACAAAAAAATTAATATTTATTGATTATTTTAACGGTTAATTTTATTATTTTTATCGTCAGTTTTTATATTTTTTGATTCAACAAAATTTTATTTATAAATTTAAAAACTAATCCATCAAAATGATATTTATGTAAAAATAAATAAATAAATCACATTTTAGACACACTAACTGAGAGTAATTCTATTTGTAATAAAAAGGTAAAAATTATTTATTTGACATAGTATTAATAATACAATGTCATGCGCATATAAAATACTTTCTCTATGTTTGAAAAAATGATATAACTTTAGTTACAAAATTAGTTAAAAATTATATAAGTAACTTATAAAATTAAAATTATTTTATAAATTAATTATATAATTTACTAATTTAATTTAAATGATTTAAAAAATAATTATATTATATTAATATAATATTAAAATTAATTATTATTTATGTATGATTAATTAATTAAATAATTACATATAAAATATTTTTTTATATATGTTTAAACTTAAGAGTATATAATACCCTCTTATTTTATCGTACATCATATAATTTACCAAAGTATACGTGAATAGAAGAGAAAGGAAAACAAATAAAAAAAAAAGTTTAGGCCAAAATATTTATAATATTTATATTATTTAATAATTAAAAAATATAAAATTAAATAATTTAATTTTTAGTTTGAGAAATTTAAATAAGTAAATTAATTTTATAAAAATAAAATTAATATATAATTTATTGTATTACTTTATTTTAACATGTAATATAATTTTAAAATATAAATAAATATCAAATTTTAAATAAGATACTTACAAAAATTTAAATTTTATGAAATATAATATAATATAATTATAAAAATAATAAAAGATAATTGTATGAGTAGCTTAATAAGCAAGTGTTTAAATTTGAAAGTAATATTCTGACTTGAAAATTAAAATTAATTAATAGGTGGGACTTACTTTTTCTTTCTACACAATTTTCGTGTCTCTATTTACTGTAAAAAGAAAAATCTTCATCAACGGCTTCCCATGCCACACTGAGAAGAGGGAATTAAGATGAATATATCAAATCATTCACTTACATGGGAGTGGGCTACAGTTTGTGCATGCAATCATGCTTTTGAGATTCGAAAAGCCAAACTATCTCTATTATGAAAATAATGATGAGACTTGGCCACGGGAGAGAATATATAAGGGGTTTTGGCTGCCCAGTATGTTGATGATACCATTGATTCACACGAAATTAAAAATGAAGGACCCCAGTGTCTTGTTTCAGCACAATTATACCTTCCACTATAATGGCATCTTCTGTGTTTGGATGTAATTATCATCTCTAAATAAGTAAAGCTTAATTAACTATTTTACACGAGAAGAGGTCCTTTCATGTGCATAACAAGTTATGTTTAAATTAAAATGTTTTTCTTAATCTCAGTATGTCAAGTGGAGATTTCAATTCTAGAAGAAGATAATTTAGATGAAAAATAAAATAAAATTATAATGTCATCTTGTGATGAGGAATTGGATTTTCCTTTAACATTTCTACATACCTTCAACTAAATCCACTCTACAAGCCATGATGATACTTAAGAAGAGATAAATCTATAAGATGCAGAAAAGCTTGATGTAATAGCCATAGGAGAAGAAGAAAAATATGTAAACACTCACAACAAAAGACAAAAAGATAGTTATTCTTGATGCAAAGTTATGAATTTCCTTCTAAAATTGAAAAAAAAAATGGAAAATGAAAAAGGCGAGTTAGTAACAATTTTTATTTTTATTTTTTTCAAAGATGATAATATTTTCAGAATGCTCAGTGGCACTTACATTCAAATTGAAGAATAATAATCTCCAAACATAATGTGAAGTAATTTTATTGACTACCACTACCACCCTATTAGTTATTTCTCCTCCTTCTTACTTAGTTTTCTTGGCATCATCCTTCTTTAGATAACTTTGATCTAATGTGGTTAAGATTATTCTTGTGATATTGAATGACATTCCTCATCACTCCGAATAAATCATGACTTTAGCTTTGATAGAGCAGACTGGATCGAGATAAAAAGGAAGTAATATGATTTTTTTTTCACTGGATAAATAGCCATAGTGGAAAATATGTGTTTGCTTGCTTTGTTTTTTGTTTTTTGTTTTTTTTAGATTTTTCATCTGGTCTAATCTGGATTTAACTCAGATCGCACATCTAAATATAGTGAGTGAATTTACTATTAAAGATTTTTTACATATACAATAACTTAAACTTAATATCTTACTTAAGCGATATTAAACTGCTTATCACTCATACAAATTTCTGCTGATTATAGTTTGTTGTTTCTGTTTGGTATATGTTTTGAGAGAGAATAATATGGTTTGTGCTCTTTAATTTTAATTTGTCAAAGTCTCTATCGTCTAAATACTTTTAAGTTGTTGAAACTTTGACATAAACATTTCTATATATGAAAAAAGAAAAAGAAGTCAAAGCTCTTGTGCTCATTTACTCACTTAGAGTTCGAGGCTCCTACACCGCTTGAGTGAGGTTGACCTCCAAATAAGGACGGGCTTAGGCCCAAATTGCATAATCTCGAGCTATTATAGCTATTCAGCATATTTTCACTTGTTTGATAAATATATTTAATATTTATTTGGTTTAAAGCTGAGTAGAATTATTCTTTTAATATAATTGATTTTAAACAATTGAATATATCTGAGATGTGTACCTAAATTACTCTGAATTATATATATTGTTAAAACATGTATTTTTTAAATTAAAATTTGCAAAATTTAATTTTGTAACTTTAAAGCAAACAAGACCTTAATCACTATAGCGGTTTGGTTTGGAGGATCTAGATCTAGTCAATAAAGTTATCTTTTACTGTGCTATTTTTTCGCGCATAAAAAAAGGATATACAGATTACAAAGATCATAATGCCAATATATTCAACTTCAGTTACTTTATCATATCGAGAGAGCATTGTGTACATAAAATAAATAGAATGAAATACCTCAGCCACAGTAATCAAGTACAAATACTAATCAATAATTTAACTTGAGCACATGATCAATTTTGTTCTATTTCTAATGCGTATCAATAGCAAAGTAAGTTTACAAAAAGACTACAAAACTATGATTTACTTAGCAGTACCATTGTCCCTAGGCGCTAGGTGAACTAAATTGTCAAAAGGGTCATGGCTAGCTCCTACTTTATATTTTTCTTCTCTGCTTAATTGGTGCATACATGAAATGCTGATGAACTTTACCCAAAAAATGATGAAAAGTTTGGGTAGAAAGAAAATGAGAGAAGGGAATCATTTACTAAAACTGGATAACCCTTTTGCCATTAGTGATTGATGGATCCATTTTAGGGTTCACTCTCATACAGAACTGACAGGTGATATAGTTGGTTGGTGGACTGTAATGTCAGCATTTTAGTTTCATGACATGAATTTGGTGAATTGTAAAAAGCCTATCATCAGGTTCCAGCTAGCAATTTTCATGTTGGAAAATGGTTTTGCATGGGGAGAAAATAAAGTTGAAAACTAAATAATAAGAAATTGAAGGGGAAAGAGAAAACTAGAAGGCAATAATTGAATGTATGATGTATCAGTTTAAGAAATAAGGTACATGCATAAAAAAAATGGAGGTACAATAGAGAATGAATAACAGGTTTGTGCCGGGCCATGCTGATTAAAACAAGTACTTTACCATCAATGAATTTGAGTTGTATTATTGTAGTGAGCAAGTTGGTGAGTGGACCATGCGGTTCAATTACGCTAACTGATCTATCTGTCAGCTACCTTTGCAAACTTATCGAAAAAGATAGCAAAAAATTAAAATATATTTGTTCATTTTGAATAGTCCACTGCACTGCATTGTGTTTGGACCAAATCCTAACTTATAATATAATAATAATGTATGATATGGCACGGGCACGTGTGCTAGGGACGGTGCTTCAAACATTTTTAGGAGTGCTGATAGTGACACAGCTATCATCAACTACTAGTCATTTTTAGAGAAAGTCTCTTCAGGACATGTAGATAATGTGTCCCTTCCAGATAGCAGTGTGAATATGTAGCCATAAGATCCATCTACCAACAATATCTAACCTTTACCTAAATCCAAAAGGAAGAAGAAATTTTGAGAATGAATCAGTGAAGAGGTTAGAGGGGAAAGGGACATCAATCATCGTCCATATATCCTTCTATCTTTTTCCACACACAACTTTTTCATATACAAACATCTTAATGGTCAGTCTTTACTTTTTGACCATAAAAGTGTGAACTTGTGAGTAGTTTCCTTTGAGAAAATATGATGAAACCATGTTAATATTAAAGGCTAAGGACTTGCATTAATGGTTTTGTTTAGATGGGGTGCTACATTGAATTTGTAGTGGTTGGTCGAGCTTGACATTTGGTCGATTTGATCATAACAAAATGCTGCAAAATGTTCTTCACTTACTCCCCTGTCCTGTTGCCCCATAAAGTCTCTATTATGGTGAATGAATGTGATTCAATCGAGTCTTCAAAATTGGTGCAGAATTTAATAAGACCATGGTGAATAAATGAACCAATTCATTCAATATTACTATGTTTTCTATGTCATGGAAAGAATGAAAAATTGAAAAATGAAAGAATAGAAACAGCTGTCCACAGTTTACACTGCAACCAAACTAGAACTTGGTCATGAGGCACTAACCGTTGGATTGGTCTTTGATTGACTCACATAGTTCATGATAGCAATCTTAGACAAATTAATATCAAGGTGGGTCCCACTTAAATTAGCCATTTTTGTGTCAGAACTTGTTAGGTGATCTTAAAGCATTTAGTTAAAGCAAGGGGATAAAATAAAAATAAAAGAATCATCATTTTTTTTTCTCAAAAAAGTGAGAGTGAAATCCTACTCATTTAATGGTAAACTAAGACAAGGAATTTCTATGGTGTAACTGGAAGCAGTGAGTGATGAAGATGAAAGCTGGTTTCCATTTATTTGAACCGATAGTACTATAACCCTTGTCTCTATGAAGAAGGGATGCTTTGCTTGATGCTTGGAAAAACAAAAACAAAAGGCATGAGGATGTGATGCTCATTTTTCTAGTTTTAGTTTTATCCACAAGCTTTGTTTTGTGAGGTGTAACTTTGTTACCTATAAACCCACAATCACAATCACAACCTTCATCCCGCATCTCTCACTCTTTTTGTTTTGTTCAAGACACTGGCTTTGGAGTTTGAGGCACAGTCTTGGAAGGATTCTCCACATTCTCTCAACCCAATTCACCATCCTTTGTGCTCTCCAACTTTTCTGCAAGATTTCCTCACTTTCTAGGTCCTTGTCTCACGGTACACGCATCTGCCTCTAAATTTTTATGCTTTTCATTCATTTCTTTTTTTGTTTCTTTTAAAATCTAAACATGGGAATTTGTACTGGATTGAGGCTTTGAATCTTGTGACACAGCTTGTCTTTCAAGTTAAACCAAACACCTCATCACGCATTTCACTGCAACATATGTTCTCATTCCATCATTGTTACTAGTGCTTCACGTTCACCACTAGCATCATCAATAAATCCACTGAATTTATGCAAAAATGTTATGGTTGTACTGTTATACACCAATACTTATGTCTGAATTTTCTTTTTCAAACATGTTGGCTGTGACAGTTCTACTACACCTATCATAATGCCATTCAGGAGTATTGTGCATGATCTCAAGGAGATTGGAGAGGGTATTGCCAACATGTATAGAAGAGGGACAGAAGCCAAGCATGTGCATCGCCATGGAAAATCTCACATTGCACCAGAATGTTCCTCACCATCACCATCACCATCACCATCACCATCACCATCTCAGAGCCAGTGGGCCAACTTACCACCTGAGTTGCTGTTAGACATAATTCAAAGGTTGGAAGCAAGTGAAACTTCATGGCCTGCACGAAGAGCACTTGTAGCATGTGCCTCAGTTTGTAGGTTGTGGAGAGAGATAACAAAGGATGTGGTTAAGACACCAGAACAGTGTGGTTGGCTCACTTTTCCTATATCACTAAAGCAGGTAGTTTTTACTTTCTTATTATATGATTGGAATCTATACTATTGGTTTCAGGCTTGGAAGCATGGGGTACTAATGTGTGATTACTTTGTTTGTTGTCTTTGTTGATCCTTATCAGCCTGGTCCGAGAGACTCTCCAATCCAGTGTTTTATTAAGAGAGAGAGGGTGACTTCAACATATTGTTTATATCTCGGTCTGAGCCCTGGTAATAATATCTTTGTGTTCACATAATTTTTGTTATTATTCCCTGAGAAATAATTTTGTTATAATTTCAGTAAAATAATAAGGTTTCTCTTTTAGTATAAAAGCGGTTTTTGGAAATTGAATTAAATCACCCGCCTTGAGGATCTATTTTTTTATCCTTTTTGGTAGTTTCTTTGATCATAAAACTAATGAAGAATGACTTTCAAAGTTTTTATTCATAAAACTTTCTTGTGAAGATTATAGCTTTGATTCTCTGCATTGGAAAGGATAATTTATTAATGATAGAAAGACTTGTGTTTTCCTGTTGTAAAGCACTTCTACTGATGAATGATTCAAGGATGTTTACTTTAAATGTAACTATAGCAACAGTGAGGAAGATTGGTAATAGCTTTGTGTTCACGTAATTTATTCTCCATTTGGAAATAGTCTTGTTAAAATTTCGGAAAAACATTATGGTTTCTCTTTGAATCTACAATCGCTATATGGTTGTTCAAACACCTTCCTTGTGGATCTTTTCTTATTTAGATAGTTTCTTTCTTAGAAAGTTCTTTGATCATTCTTTTTTCTTCTATTCATGATACTTCTGCTTTCACATGAGAAATTCTTAATAATCAAAAGACAGCCCATGTGCTTTCCTATTGTAAAGCACTTACTCTTGATGGATCATGATTCAAGGATATTTGTCATAAATATAGTATACTAGACTTTTTTCTTATTACCTACTTATTTTTTGGTTCATGTTGACTTTCTATATAACCTTTGAAGTGAAAATTACTGAATGCTAAAACTAGTATATGCATGACTAAATATACTGTCCTTTCTATGCTCCTGTTTTATTTCCTATGAGAATTGTGTTATTGTATTTGCAGCTCTTTCTGGTGATATGAGCAAACTGTTACTGGCAGCAAAGAAGATTAGAAGGGCAACGTGTACAGAATTTTTAATATCATTGGTTGCTGATGATTTCTCTCGGACTAGCAACACTTACATTGGAAAACTGAGGTTAGTCTCATCCCTCTATGTTCTTTATATTTATGATTGATACAATATACTACTGTTCACATGATCTGTAAGCAATAAACAGGTCTAATTTTCTGGGCACCAAGTTTACAATCTTGGATGGGGAGCCCCCACATGATTCTTCACTCCCATTGAATTGCAAGTTGCAACAAAGAGTCCACCTGAAGCAGGTACTTCCAAAGGTTGCTGCTGCTAACTATAAAGTGGCCACAGTATCTTATGAACTTAATGTTCTCAGAACAAGAGGTCCAAGGAGAATGAGATGTACAATGCACTTAATCCCAATATCGGCAATTCAAGAAGGAGGAACTGCCCCTACTCCTTTGAAGTTTACCAATTGTGTTAATGACCGGGCATCTTCCAACCTTATTTCAAAAGGAAAGAAATCAGAAGTTGACTTTGACTCAACTAGCACTGGCAATACTCTAGAGTCAGCCCAGAGTGCAAGGGAACCATTGATTTTGAAAAACAAAGCTCCTAGATGGCATGAACAATTGCAATGTTGGTGCTTGAATTTCAAGGGAAGAGTTACTGTGGCCTCAGTGAAGAACTTCCAACTAGTAGCAGCTGCAGAACCATGCCAAAATGTTTCAGCGGCAGAACAAGAGAAAGTCATACTACAATTTGGAAAGATTGGGAAGGACATATTCACCATGGATTACCGATATCCCCTCTCAGCTTTCCAAGCCTTTGCAATATGCTTGAGCAGCTTTGACACAAAACCAGCTTGTGAATGATCATGAATCGTGATTTCTCCCCATTGTGGACAAACAGTCTTGTCACTCTTCCTTGATATAAAATGTATATATATTTTCATAAGAAAGGAGAGAAGCTGGACTAAACAGCTCTCATTCTAATGAGTGCTTTCATTCTGCATGCACAAGTTTGTATGATGCTAGCTATTAGGATTAATGTTTAATGGCAAATCTATTTTTCTGTAACCTGTAAAGAAGTTTGTTAATTTCCCCTATCATTAATCACATAAGAGAGTCAACTTCATTTAATGTAAAAATGAACAACTTAAAATGAAAATCACACACGGTATATTAAAATAACAAAATAAAAATGACATGACATGACAAATTACACAGTATAGATGTGTTTGTTCACACTTGCATGATGAAGTGCTTAAAGCGTATGAGATTGGCTCATTATTTTGTTACAAGTGTGTTACAGTATTCTACTATAGTCTATACAGGGTATTTTGGATTTTAGAAGGGAAGCCATGTGCTTGTTCATTCAAAGAATGTGAATGTCTTCAATGTCATCACAACTAAACTTGCAACCTTGACTGCGAGGATGGTCATCTGGGCCTGAAGCGTTTGGTTCAGGAAAAAGGCCTCTGAGGGATCTTTTAACAGTGGGCTGGTAGGTTAACTTCTCAGCCCGGTTAATGTTCAACTGAGTCCTTTGAGTTTTCAAGACAGGCTTGTCATTGGGCTTGATGGACTCAGAAGGCTTTTGTGGAAGAGTCACTTGAACACCAGGGTCTCTTTCATTGATTGAGCCATGAAACATGAGTGAGTTGTTGATACTCTGTATGTTGCTATTAACATATGCCATTCCCACCTCATCGTCTTCCTCCAGGTCTTCCTCATTGTTTTCTTCTCCATCTGTGTTCACTTCATTGCTCTCTTCTGGATCAGTTTTATAGGCTCGGTGGATATGAATTGAACCATCTTTCTTAGCTGACTCAGAACCTACATGCATTTTGGCTCCTCTATTGTCACCAGCCAAGGTTATGACACTAAACTGTTTATCATCCAAGGGTTGTGTAGGGTCATGCACTGAGGCTGTTAGTTTATGAACAAACTTTGTGATATCATCTTTGATACCCTTTTGCAATGGAGCCTTTTCCACAACACTTGTTTCAGGTGTTATGCTTGACACATTCCTTGTCCCTTCTTCTGTTGAACTCACAACTCTTGTGTCTTTCCCACTAGGGTTGGATGTGACAAACATAACCTTTCTCTCCACAGTTTCTCGTTGTGCTGCATGTGGCTTCTTATCTGCGCGAAACACCTTGGCAAATGAATCTTTAGCCTTTGTTGTTGTTCCTGAAGCAAATGCTATGGTGTGTTGAGTTGGTTTTGGTGTGGTGATTGTTTCTTTGCCTTTTCTTTCTGCCTTAGTGGTTTCATGCACTTCTTTCTCCTTTTCTTCATGTTGAAGGAACTTGCTCTGTGCTTCCAAAGGGGCCTCTGGTGTGGTTGTTTTGTCTCTGTCTTTTCTTTTTGCCTTAGTGTTTTCGTCCACCACTTTCTCTTTTTCTTCATGTTGAAGGAACTTGCTTTGTATTTCCAAAGGAGAATTTGGTGTTGTTGATCTTTGCTCATCACCTGTAATTGCTGCAGGTTGTGCGGACAGATTCTCAGGTGACTTGGGGGTGGTTTTCAATGGTGACTTCATCTTTGGCACTTCTGTTTCTTGTGCTATCTTCTCTTTTTCTTCTTGAGGAGTAGGTGATGCAGGTGAAGTGGTTTCTTCAGCTTGAGGCTTTAACACCTCATTGGTGTGCTCTGAGGTCAAAGAAGATGATGGATGAGGCTCAAACGGTGGTTCAGTTTTTGAAACTGGGAATGAAGAAGGCACAAAAGAAACTTGTTGAGAAGAATAAGGTTCTGGTGACTTGGGGGTTGTTCTCAATGGTGATCTTACCTTAAGCTCAGGTTCTTCTTGTTTTGGTTCAGACAAGACCATCTTTTCCCTTTCTTGTTCAGAAAAAGATGTTGCAGGAGTGGTTTCTTCAGCAGCAGGCTTTGGCACCTGCATGGCTCCATTATGAGGGGGAGACTGAAGAGGTTGTGTTTTGGGGGATGAGGATGCAATATGAACATGAGATGGAGATTGTGCATGAGGTGAAGGTGACGGTGGATGTGTTGGATGAGGCGGTGATTGGGTTTGAGGTTCAGCTTTTGAGGCGGTTTCATGAGTTTTGGTAGGACTAGGAGGATATAACTCTGAAGGTGTTATCACAGAAGGCTTAGATGGTCTTTGAATGGGTATGTTTGTGTCTGCATGAGGAGGAGATTTTGGTTTATCTTTTAGGCGACGAGAGAATGATTCAGATGGTCCTGATAGCCATGGGATCCTGAAACGAAGTGATTGCTTTCTTTGTGCCATGAATGGCTAATATCATGTGATTACACAAGAGGAAAGAGGGTGATGTTTTAGTGGTGTTTTGGATGAACGTAATGCTTTATATTGCAATGTTTGTAGTTATATATATAGTTAAGTGTTTATACTTTGGATGCATTATGGGGCTTACGTTACATGTTTTTTACTTGAGCTTGCAATTTCTTTTTGCTTCTTTTGGAACATTTCACATTGATTCCCTTGAAAAGTTCTATATTATTTCTTTCCTTAATTAATTAATTTTGTAATCAAACGTTTGCCACCCATTCAAATAACTAATATGTCACTCGAGAGGAAAGAAATTTCTCTTGCCTCTCCAAAAAGAAATTCCCGTATATGCTTTACTTCCTTGGAGTTCTTGGTTTTAGTCTTTCATAATTCACTTATTATGGTACTAGTTTTATTTCGGAAGTGTTTGAAAAATCTTTTATAAAACTTATATAAACATAAATGCATCTGAGTTGAAAATTTGAAAACATTGAGTTCAGAAAAATAAATTATGATCATTTTATAAATTATGTTAAGATTATCTAAATAAGTTAAAATTATAGGAGCAATGTAACCCACTTTCATAAATTTAGTTTATAAAAATCAACATCCTAAATTAAGTTTTCTTTTGTAATAAATTATTATAGAATAAATAATTAACCAAATTTATTTATTTAAATGCAACTTTCATTCAACTCAAACGAAATCCTCATTTAGAAGATCACGATGTTTTTCTTTTCCTTTTTTATTTTGCTTGGTATATTCTGAAAAGTATAAGTGTATAACCCGTCTGGTTCAGCAATTTCATAAAAAAGCAACCGAAAAGTGCCTTTCACCAAATCCTCGTTTAAGAAAATAATTAAGAGGCAAGATAGAGTCACAAATCGCGACTTAGACGATGATAGCAAGCTATTCTTTTGTCTTCAGGGCACTGGCAACATGAGATGCCAAACGTGGGGTAGAGCTTTTGTCTCGGCAATACAAGAAGAAAATTCTAAGTATTTGTTGCATGTCAATCGCTCATATCACCAGCGAATAAGCTTTTCATAAGACCAAATGAATAAAGCAAATTTCTTTTTAATCTGAGTACAATCAAAGGATAAATCTGATAAATCTCCATATATACCAATGCTAATATCCAATTTTATATTATGAATTCTTTATTCTTGAAAAAATAACATTTGTAAGAGTTATATTTCTTCATCACACGACTTCTTCCATATTAGGTTAAAAAATGTTTTCAAACATAAATCCAACTGTATCCTCGGCATATGCAAGGACTGAAGATAAAATCAGAACAAATCAGTGACAAACATGCCACAAGAAATCGTATATATGAAAAAGAGAATGCCATAAACATGCCACAGAAGACATTGTATATACAAACGACTATAGTTCAAAAGAATAATTCAAAGAAGTGAATCAGTAACCTGAACACTGGCGAACCTGTAACCATGGAAAAATTAATAAACATGATACAATTGAAAGACTAACAACTTAACAACCATAAACTCAGTCCTTTATTGGTTACATGATATGATAAATCTAGCAGACCGTAGCTTCCTTAATAAGGCAGCGCATTTGTTGCTCATTTGGCAGAGAAAGACTAAAATGGCACCTCTCGTGACCACTATACTATCTCATTCTTGGTGTTTTGCGGACAGGTTTTGTAAGGGCTAACTTAAGTGAATTTGATGCAGTAAAACCCCGGGCTTCCATGATCCCATATATTCTTTGTGCATCCCGCTGAAACCCACCATTAATAAGGCCGAATATAATTCTCTCAAACTCTGCTGGTCCTAATTCATTCTTCTTAGCTTCCAGAACCGATAGAATTTGAAGAGCCTTTTTCTCATTTCCAGCCCTTGCATACATATCACAGAGACTCACTTGAACTTTAATAGGAGGAGCCTCACCCAGCAGAGCAATTTTACCTAAAAGTTGCTCAACCTCATCAACAAGCTGCAACTTACCCAGCCAGTCCACAAAAACAGAATAAGTCGCAACCCCAGGCTCAAATCCATCCTTTTCTAACTCCATAAGAAGATCTAGTGCCTTGTCCAACAAGTTAGCCTTCTCATAAGCCAAAATCATGCTAGCAGTGCACCTATCATCAGGCTTATGCCCAATTTTTATCAAGTAGTCAAAATTGTTTCTTGCCTCATCAGGTTCACCAGCATGTGCATTTGCCTCAATAAGCAGGGTGCAAATCTCCACACTCTGCTGGATTCCTGACAACTGCATAGCTGTTGATATTCGGGAAGCTCCTTGAACATCACCATTTTGAGAATAAGAATGGAGCAGTGCCATATATATTTCCTTTGTTGGCTTAACATCTCTCATCTCCATCCCCCTCATCAATGTCTCACCCAAATTTGGCTGGCCATCATTTACATAAGCCATGATCATTGAAGTGTAGACTTTTATGTCTGGTTGGAAGCCCTGGGTTGTCAAGACTTCAAAAGCTTCTTTTGCACATTCGAGATTGCCTCCCTTGCAGTACATGTGGACCAACGTACTGGCTGTTGAAGCATCTGGTTGTATACCTTTTTCTTTCATCTTCTTAAGGATCCTCTCAGCATCATCCAAGCAGCTCTCTTTAGCATAGAAATCAATAAGCCTAGAGTAGTCATATACATTTGCTTGGAAAGAATCTTCGGTCAATATCATTTCTGCCACCTATAAGGATAGGATTTGACAAAAATTAGATCCAAAATTCAGATAGGCATTACTTTGTCCCATGTTGAATCACAGTAATTCAATTCATAAAATATATGTATTACATGAAATTCCTACAATTTTCAAGAACAGCACATGGAAATATATTCCTAGGATTATCCATGTTCTTAAATAAGTAATTCTTAAGAGCATGTGACCACATAATATGTAACAAGCACAATTCCTAGTTATATCTTTTTCATGCCAGGGTTACGGTTCTTACGTGGCTACAGGCTAGGGACTAATTACTCAATATTCTTAGTATGACATACAGAGTAAGAACACAAGCAAAGGATTACACAGAACACATTTCATGCAGCCTCTGAAAATAGAATGGAAACGTAACTAAGCTCCCATCAAGTTGAAGCACATGGTATGAAAAAAGAAAGATGTTAGATGCCACAGAGATCATACACAAATCTCAAGGAACAATGCCCATTTCTGCAAATAAATGTAAGAAAGAATTCATCCACTCCGCAATCACATCCAAAACAACTGATTCAAACATCTTCCGACCAAAATATCAAAAGCCAGACTAAAATTGATGGTGGCATCCCATATCCTTTACACATACATCTCCCCCATTTGGCCGTTCATTTCCAAATAGAAACACAACATTTAGGTTTAAGAATTGACATTTCCTAATAATAATAATAATAATAATAATAATAATAATAATAATCTGGTGAAGCATCAGAACAAATTCATATGAATGATATCAAACCATAGGCATACCTTCAAGTACAAAGGATGATTCTTCCTTTTCAATCTGTCAAGTAAATCCATCCATTCCACCCTGGTAGGCATTACAAGCTCCACCCACTCAGCCAACAGGGTTGGCAAGCTATCATCATTATCAACCTTCAATGACTCAATCTTCTCAGTAATAAGCTTAGCTTTCCCAGTTATCAACTTTGGTTCCTGTGGCCACAACACTTGTTCTGCATCATGGATCCTATCAGCCACTTGTTCCCACTTAGGATCAGACAAATCAAGCCCATAAATCTTGTACCTTATCTTCCCTCTCCTCTTGGGAAGTTCAACAACCTTACCCTTCTCCTCACTAACATCAACCTCACTGTTCCCACTTTCATTGTCTTCAATTTGTGCCTCTTTTCTCATCCTCTCCAAACCCTCATAGAAATCATGTTCCTCCATCTTCTCACGCGCCCATTTGAACCTAAGTTCTCTCAGCAAATCGCCGCGAATTCCTACTTCGCCGGCGAACCTACACATATCCTTCACCTCCTCACACTGCAAGAAACCCTTCATTCTCTCCTTCTTCCTTTCCTTGTTCATGTCATCTAACACCTTGTTACTCACTTCCCACACCGTTTTCCACAAATCCTCACTGAAATCTCCACCACCAAACGACGCCGTTTCCACGCTACCCTTTTCCATTTCCGACACGACCCTGTCCACGATCACCAGAAGCATGCCGTCGACGGTGCTCTTATCGGAATCAGGGTACGCTTCCTTCACCTTCTTCCGCATTATCCAAACGAACCGCGACAAGAACTCGTTCGTCGTTTCATCGTCGTCGACGACAGCGTCGTTTCGCGGGGCGAGGAGTTTTGGGTGGTTATTGCTGTTGCTCTGTTGACGGGAATGAAGGTTGGTGGAGAATGAAGAATTTGGAAGTAATTGGAAAACAGAGGAAGAAGCGCGTGTGTGGGAAGAAGAGGGAAACACGGCGCGTGTGGTAGTGAACAAAGGGGATCCTAAGATTGCATTGAGTTTGTTGATGTTCTGTCGTGAAGTGGAAGCTAATAGATTTCTCCAAACCATAGTGTGTGAGATTGAATTTGATGGCTCTGCAAGTTAGGGTTTTAGGTTTATGCCAGGTTTACACTGTGAGTTGCTGATGCTAACGAGGAAGACGAAGCATGATGCAAAATGAAACTACGAGCCCAAAATGATTGTAGGGCCCATCCATTAATATGATAGGCCCAATACCACATTCATATTGACATATCTTCACTCGGTCTACACAAATACCTTTTGACCAAAATACAAAATTTCTAGACAAATACCTTATTTCACTTTATCCTATTTTTAATAAGACTTAGATTTGCACAAATAAAAAAAAAACTAACATATGTTTTTTCGTCTTTATATTTTAATGAATTTTTTATTTTAGTATTTTTAAATAATTTTAAATTTTAACTTTTTTAAAAAAAATTATTTTTAATCCATTTTATTGATGTGATTAATAATAAAAAAAATACAGAATCTTAATGAACTATGTAAGTAAAAGAGAATAAAAATAAAATTTTACAAAAAAAAAAAACACAGGGACCAGAACTAAAAACTTTTGTTTGAATGAACTAAAATAAAACATTTGTTTTACAAATTTTAAAAAAATGACCTTAATAAAACATTATTTTATTAATTATTTGTAATGAATTTTTCAAAATTTTATTTAATACAAAAAAAAAACAATAACTTTGAATTCATAATAAATATTTGAATTTAAAAAAAAATATACGATTAAATATAATTTACTTAAAATATGAATAAAGTTGAGATGCATGTCTCATCTTCTCTGGTTCTCTTTCCCCTTACTATATATGTTCTTCTTAATGTTTTATTCTTTCCCATAATGATTTATTTGAAGTGAGCTTAGCTGCCATCTTCTTTGTTACGTAGATACACACACATAATTGAATATCAATTTTAACTTTAATTTTGAATATAATTACAATAATTAAAAATAAATTAATAAAATATTTATTTATCATAAAATAATTAAAATTTTAATCTAATATGAAAATATTTGTTAAACTAATAATCAAAATATTTTATTATATATTTTTTAAAACAATATAAATTGATTTTGTTTAAATTTTTATAGAAAAAAGAAGATAGTCTAGCTTTAAAATATTTTAATATATTTATTTTATATTTAGTTAATGTATTTTTATAGTAATAATTTAACTTTATGACCATTTTAAAAATTAAATTTTAAATAATTTATGAACATAGTTGTAATGTATTATCAATATAAATTGTTTCTACAATATCAATCACTTAAAATATATAGTAAATATAAATTTAAAAAAAATTATTATAAAAATTAATCATTCGCTAATATAATGATTTATGACTAGATAATATTATAAAAAAAATATTTTATCTTATCAATAAATTTTAATTAAAATATTTAAAAAAATCAATTAGCAATAAACTTATATTTTATAATAATTTGTATTATCAAATTTATGTATCCGCGCCATGCACGGGAATTAAATATAGTTATACATCTATATGAGAATTCTACGTTAGAGCATCTTTGTTCTTGCAAAGAACAAGATAAACTGCAGTTACATTTATTTAAATTTGAATACAATCTAATCCCCTATGTCCAATAAACCAATGATTAAAATGTGCTAAAACTTCAAGGACGTTTTAGTTTCTTAGACCACTGATCATACAAAATTGCTTAGTCCTTTCAAGGGGATTTCTGTTACTGATTTTACCAACAAATTAACTTTGCTAAAATTGGTAGAGGAAAACAAATAAGTGCTTCTCATCTTATGTTCTAAAATTCTAAAAATCTGATAGAGAATGAGTAAAAAGCAAATTCATGGGTTATATTGCTGAAATTAGATGATTACATGAAGACAAAGAGAACAAGGTCTGGCCCCACATGACCATATGTCTCCTTGCTGAGAAAAAAAACTATCCCCAAGCCTCATCTTGACTATGATCCTCACAGCAAGACAAAACAGAAAATTTTTCTAGGAATTTTTTCTTATGTGTACCTTCCCCTTAGCTGGTCTTGGATTATTCCTAATAATCAGGGTCCTAATCCTAACAAAATAAAATATAAATGCCTGTTTTAAAGTCACAAATCAACTTCTATGGACACTGTGTTACAATTTAGTACGAGCAAGACAACCTTAAGTACTACAAAATAATCACAAATCTCCAACTTTTGGGTTAACAGAATCATTGACTTGATTCTCACATATTGCTCCATCCACAACCAACTTGTGCTCAAAGGATTGGTCATGACATTCGTTTTTCAGTGCGTGCCTTCTATTTTGAACCTGACAAATGGATCTCCAATTCTTGATCAAGAGATACAAAAGGTATTGTAGAAGCTCCTTCTCCTTTTGGTTTGTGTAATTGACTTCATCAAGTTGCCTCTTAAGAGTTGCTTTCTCTACTAACAGAGAGAAAAGGGATTTCATTTTCAACCTTGAAGTTGCAACTTGAATAGCTTCAAGTTCTTCCTTTTCCATAGAAGCTGAATCAGGAAAATCCTTCTCAAGCAGTGACCGTAATACTTTCCAAGCATCATCTTCTTCAAATTCCAAGGAAAATTCCATATGCCTAAGATCATGTAGGATTGCAGATATCTGTAGGCCAATTCCCAGTCTCAATTACCAAGTTGCACAACAAGTCATAAAAATACAATCAACATGTGGAACATATGGCACAAAAATTACTCAGAAGATGTAAACATGTTTCAATGGTATAAAAGGCTAATTAATTAACAAGTATAACCAACCTTAGCAGCCATTGGTACTGGAACCGCATTTTGAATCTTAGCCAAGTTCAACTCAAAAGCATGTTGAATTTTTCGAGATCTTGAGAGTATCTTGTGTGATGTTATTGCCTAACCAGTTTCCAAATAAGGTTAGTTATTTCAAAATAACATTTGATAGCATGCAAAGTGTATGAATAGACAATAATAATTGATAAGTATTCCAATGTTTATATCAGACAATTTATACATCAATTAGAAAATAATTGATGTATCATTCTCAGAGTCAAGATTTGAGATTCAAAAGTTACCAAGTAGAGTTTACTGCACTCAGAACAATGTCTGATAACTGACTTGGCTTTGTCTAAAGTGAAGTGTAATGAACACAATGTCTGCATGGCTAACGCACAATTTGGTCTGGCAGATTCGATGGCTAAAATTATATGCAAAATTTTATCAACGAGTATATGAAGCTCTAAGCATATTGAACGGTGTACCTGCGCAAATGAAAATATGAATGAAATATAATCACATAAAGGTGATTTGTACGTATGTTTTACATAATTTCTTCTCATATGGCCCTTTTCCCAGTAAATAAATTTAACTCAAACTATTTTAGCTGTAATAATTCAACATCTAATCTCTAACATTATTTTCAGTTATTAAACACTACGCTATTTCTACAATCAAATCATCAGGTAATGAAAGTTTTGCTATTAATATAACGACGATACTAGAACTAAAACCGATAAGTGAAATCCCAAATGGTCCAAAAAACTATGAATTTCTTCTTTTCCCCTTAAAGGAATATTTAATTATGGTTCTAGAATTAGCTATTTTTCATTCTCACTCTTGAAACCCAATTTGCTGGAAACTATCTTAGGATTATCAGATGGCCATTTCAGATTGTTGGTCCTAAATTTGATAACTGCAACATACCCTTTTACTTAAAAATTAAAACTTGATGGTGCATGTGGCATTCATGATTACTAAAACAGAGATTTGAATATTGAAGGTACCTTAACATTCCAATAGCTTGGAATTGGAATTGGAATTGGAACTGGAATCTGCAAAGCTTTATCATCGTTGCTTGACATCATCATAACTGTAGATTTGAACTCAAGGACAGCACTTGGCAAGACCAACAGAGAGAAGAAGAATGGTTCTCATGGGTTTGCTGCTGAAACTACATATATCTTCAGCCGCCAGACACGTTACAAGGGGAACACAGTTCTGGCAGCATGTACATCAATAATTAATAATTAAGACATTTTGCATTTTTGGGCATAAATAAATAAAATTCTATCTTTTTATGCAGTCCGCTATTTTATTTTTTCTCTCTCATTTATTAATACTCTTTGTGGCAATGGCAAATTGGCAAGGGTAAATTGTTAAGCATTTATTACAAATTACTTATATAATATACTAAGCATGTAATTCAATAATCAAGATATTACATAATTAAAATGGGTATGATGTTGCTGATCATCATCATTATTTGACTTAAAAGAAGTTTTAACATCCTTTTTAAGTCAACTTAAAAAAACAAAACATTTTTTGTTAGAATTTTTTTCTTTTATCTTTTTCTGCTCTGAATAGTAATTTTCTCATGCTTGGCTGGCCCAATCATATATAAAATTCTTTAACCTTCTTAAACAAAAATGATTGGTCGAATTAAACATTGATGAATAATGCAAAGAAAAAGATGAATTTGGGTCCACCCAAGCCCCAAAATGAATTAAGTGTGACGAAGACCCAACACAGGAAAAAGTCAATGCTGGATCAACAAAGAAAAAGTTCATCAAACCAAAGATAAAGGGAAGAGGGAAAACGTCCACCACTGTATGTTCGGCTTGAAAAAGTGGTCAAACTGGCTTGTTATGCCTCAAACAAGACAAATTATTGGCTGCTACAAGTCAATGTCATTCCATCACTTGTTAAAATTTTATAATTTATAATATATATATATATATATATATATATATATATATATATATTTCTGGTGTGATAGTGTGCAATGCACAGAATAATTTATAATATTAAATTTTAAAATTTTTATTATTAAAAATTATAAAATATATTTAAACTATTTAATAATTTAATTTATATATATTTATCATATAAATACATAATAGATTAAATATACATTACTGATTATATGTTATTTGTCATTATTAATATAAATATAATTATTTTCTCAATCTTTGTTAAAAAAATTAATTTAATAATATAAATATATTAATTATTTGTTACTATTCAAATAAAATATATTTTGATTATATTATTTTAAAATAATATAAATAAAACTAAGATTATTATGATTATTAAAGTAAACATTATTATTTTGTTATAAAATAAAAAAAATTATTATTAAAAAAATTATTTATTAATAATGTATTATATATAATGTAATAATGTATATTTTGTCAATAATTTTTACTTAAAATATATATTTATATAGCAAAAGTTTGTCAAATAAAAATATAACATATCAAATATACATTGATCGTATATGATATTTATCATTATTAATATAAAATAATTATTTTTTTACTCTTTAATAAAGAAATTAATTTAAAAAAATTATATTAATATTACTAATATTTAAAAGATGACATTATTATCATTAATTTTATTGTATTATAAGATTGTTATAATTATTAAATTAAGTGTTGTTATTTTGTCATAAAACAAAAAAGAATATTTATTAATAATGTATAATATATAATACAATAATAAATATTTTATTAATAATTTTGACTTAAAATATATATCTAGACAACATATATTTGTCACATAAATATATAATAGATCAAATATACGTTAGTAATTATCTGCTATTTATCATTATTAATATAAATGTAATTATTTTTTCACTCTTCGAAAAAAAATAATTTAATAATATAAATATATTAACTAATTTTTACTATTTAAATAAAGTATATTTTGATTGTATTGTTTTACAATAATATAAATAAAATAAATTTGATATTAGACACATTTGTAGTGTTTGTTTCTTTATTTTTTTTATGTAAAAAATAATTAAATAAGGTAAATATATTTACTATTCTAACTATTTCAATAAATATAAGTTGGATAACACATAGATAACTTTAATATATGATTCCTTAATGAATATATTCCTGTATAAAAATTGTATTCTGTCCAGCAATCATTTTCACATTATAATAACAAAATATATAAGAAATATAGTAAATAAAATCTAAATAACATTAAGTAATATTTAAATATCTTCTTATATCTTGTCAAAAACTTCTTTAAATACTATATTTGATGTAAATCGGGTTGACTTCTCATTTTCATTTAAAATCAATATTTTCAATTCATCTTTCTTTCTCATTTTTAAGATAGCAACATATAATTGACTATGAGAAAATACTAGCCTTAGTAAGTAAAGACCAATATTAGAAAGTGTTTGTCATTGACTCTTATTAATAGTCATTGCAAGACAAAGAGCTAACGGAAATTGTTTTCTTTCAAACTTAAAAGGTAACTGGGAATCTGAAGGAACTAAATTCATTCTTGGGATGAATACTTTATCACCCATATTTCTTCTTGTAACAATAGTGACTGCAATTATGTTTCTTTCCAATTGATTAACAATCAATCTAGTTCTGTTGCATAATCCATTTGCTTGATCTATATTCCTCAAAAGCATAACTTAAACACCTATCTTCAAAATTAATTTGTGGTTTAGAAATCTTGAACACTTAACTTTATTCAAAAATTCAATAGTAAATCACTCACCTTCTATTTCAAAATTTTCATCAGATGAACAACTTGAACCAGAACTTAAATATTCTCTTTCTTTTCCAGGCATCAAAGAAGGAATTAATTCATTTACTTTCTCAATACTTTCTAAAGTAGACACTAATATTACTCTCTGGTCAAAGAATTTAAAATCAGCATAATTATGCACTAAACTTGGATATGCAAATTCTACTGAATGCATAAGACTATTATCCTTTTCAAAAATGAGAAACTCTTTTAGAATTTCAAATGTACAATCTTTTTCATCATTAACTCTCATTTGCCCATTGCCTATTTGAAAAATCCAATCTACAAAAAAACTTAGTTTCAAATATAGTAGAAGTGTTTTCTACTGATGTCGATAATATCATATTTTTTGTCAACTTGAGCACTTTGCAATGAGCCCATAAATAAGAAGAGTTCACAGTTGCGAAAAGAACATCTTCATTACTACCTTTTGGAATGACCAGAAGTATTTGTCTAAAATCTCCTCTTAATACAACAACTTTTTCACCGAATGGTTCATTCATACTATTTGAATTTTTCACTCTCATTAAATCTCTTAACATACTATCTAGAGCTTCAAAATAGGGCTTCAAAAAAAATTTATTAAGCATGGGGCTTCATCCCATATGATAAGACTTGTGTTAATTAATAGATTAGCTTTCAAACTTCCTTGCTTGATGTTATACGTAGATGTATTATCAGTCATTAATGGAATTGAAAATATGAAATGAGTTGTCCTTCCTCCAGGAAGAAGTAAAGAAGCAATACTACTTGAAACCACATTGAGAACAATCAGTTGTTTAGATCGGAGAGCTGCAATAGAGTATTTCAAATGTATATTTTTTTTGTTTTTCCATATCCTTATAAGAAGAAAAAAACCACCAGATTTATTTAACACTGAGCTAATAATTTCATAGTAAATAACTTTTAGTTCTAATGTTAAAGAATATAGAAGTCTACGATATTATTCAGTCAGTTCAGTTGTGTTGTAATTGAGCTCATCTGCTATGAACTTATTTTTGACTAAACTGAAAATTGAATCTTCTACAATTGGCATACAGGTGTAGTCACTTAATGACCTCCCATTGCTTTGATAATTTTTTCAACCTCAACCAAACAAAGATTTTTCAAGTTGTGAAATAATAGAACTTAATAATTGTGTCAATTTTTCCATAAAATTAAGTTTATTCAATTAGTAATATTAAAAAATTGATTTAAATGATTTTAATATATTAACTCGTCGTTAATCATATTTTGTACACAATTTATTAGATTTTTATTCTTCTATTTAAAATTAAACTAAATTAAATAAAATCTTACACATTGTAAGTTATAATTTATATTTAAATTTAATATATTTATCATTTTTATTAGCTTAATTCAACAAAATAGAAGATAATAAATAACACTTTGATTATAATAAAAAATAACAATTTTTGTCATCAATTTAATTAAAATATACATATTATATATATTATGCTAATTTTATCAAATAAATATTTATGTTAATGTAAACATTTCCTTCCCGTGATATATATATATATATACCCTAGACATGAAAGTATCTTTGTAAATTTGGTATTCACCTAAGGTTCCACACCTAAGATTGGATAATAATTCACATATCTTTCTTTCTATAAAGAAGGATCTCCAAGAAAATGTTGAACAATGCAATATAATAGGGTATATACCGCATCAGGAAGTTGTTGATCGTTGTTGACAATGGTTTTACCTTTGTCATCAAGTTTTACTGCAGAGAGGATATGTTCTCTATCAGTTTCAGTAAGATAGTTATCCCACCAATCTTTTAGTTGGCCAATCCATCAATGAATTTTTCTTTCTAAAAGGACTGATTACAATTTTCTTTCTAATTAGTAATATTAAAAACTTGATCCAAATTATTTTAATATACTAACATGTTGTGAATCATATTTTGTACGTAATTTAGTTAGATTTTTCTTCTTGTATTTAAAATAAAATCTTACACATTGTAAATTATAATTTATATTTGAATTAATATATTTATCATTGTTTATTAGCTTAATTCAACAGAATAGAAGGTAATAAATCACATAAAAATTTAAGCTTTCACTTTTGTATTTAAAATTAAATTAAATCAAATTAAATTTTATCTATTATAAGTTATAATTTATATTTAAAATTAATATATTTATCATTTTTTGTTAGTTTAATTCAACAAAATAGAAAGTAATAAATAACAGTTTCATTATAATAAAAAAAAATTAACATCAAATTTATTACAATATACATATTATATATATTATGCTATTTTTTTAATTAAATATTTATATTAACTTAAATATTTCTTTCTCGTGATATATATATATATATATATATATATATATATATATATATCCTCGTATGTCTATTTATTTGTTTAAATAATTTAAATTTTATAATAATTTTTTTATAAACTTA